TTTAAAATAAATATTATTAGTATTATAAGGTATGTAATGGAAAAAGTGCAGTACATACAAGAATATCTGGGTAATGCAAGTAGAGAAATGGAAACTCTAGGATAGAGTCAAGGACTAGAAAAAGGAAAATTAACAGAAATGAAGATACCTTGGTGGGTTAATCAGTAGGCTCGACCCAGCTGAGATAAGAATCAGTGATCTTGAAGATGTGTCAATAGAAACTTCACGTCAAAAAAAACAAAAAACAAAACAAAAGGCAAAGAGAAAATCTTGAAAATTCTGCAGAATAAAAAACCTTACATAGAGAGAAACAAGGGCAAGCATTATTTATACCAGACTTCCTGTCAGACACCATACAAGCAAAAAGAGAGTGAATAAAATATGCAAAGTGTTGAAAGGAAAAACTCTATACTTCTATATCCAGTGATACTATCCTTAATAATTGAAGGTAAAATAAATATTTTTTCAGACAAATGATGTTCTGGGAATTCATTGCCAGAAGCTCTAATAACTGCAATAAATGTTAAAAGAGGAGGGAATAGTTTTAAAAATGTTAAAAGAAGGAAAATGGTATGAGTCAGAAATGTGGATCCTTATAAAATAAGAGGGAGTATCAAAAAAGGTAAAATAACATGCTTATTTTTCTTGTTCTTAATTGATCTAATAGCTATTCAAAGTAATAATGTATTGGATAATTATAGCAAATGGATACATAATATGAATGACAGCAAGAAGAGTTGAGAATACGGTTATGAGTTATCTGCACTACCTGTAAAGCAGTATAGTGTTACTTCAAAGTGGACTTATATTTGTTGTAAATGTATATTTTAAACTCCAGGGAAACCACTAATATTTAAAAGTAAACATAATTATTTGTATAATTATATACTAACAAAGAAGATAAAATGAAAATAATAAAATCTCAATTAAAACTAGAGAAAGCAGAAAAACAGGAAAAGAACAAAAGTGCTATGAATAAAAAACAGCTCCAAACTTGGTAGATAATAATCCAGTTATATAACAAATCACTTCAAATGTGAACTGTCTAAATATATCAGTAAAATGACAAGGATTATAAGCATAGATAAAAACCAATATCTGACTATATGTTGCCTAGAAGAAACCCACTTTAAACATAAAAGCACTATGGAAATAATCTTTTCAACACATGGGAACTTGTGACCTGGGGACCTGGGAAATGTACCTCTCACAGTGCGATGCTGCTGAACAGCCAGTCTGATTGGGCATCTCCTTTGGCAGAGCTACAGTACAGAATTTCCAGGGCTGGGAATGGTAGCCCCACCCCCGACTTTGGTTCTGGCTGACCTCAGGGATATGTCTGCCTTCAGGCATTTATGATATTTCCCATGGGTTGAAGTAGGGACAGGTCTCCTGCCAGGGAACCCAAGACGGTGGGGAAGCTGATTGTTCACCTTGATCTTTTTCCATTGTAAAAACCACGAGTTGGGAGAATTTTTTTTTTACCGTTGGTACCAGGCAGATTGAGTAAGGGGTCAAAGAGAGGTGTCGTGTGTTGAAACAACTGGATACCCAGATACAAAATAATGATTTCAGACCCATCAATTCATTATATCATAGTCCCAAATGAAGGATGTAAAATTAAAACTTCTATAGGATAATATAGGAGAAAATTTAAGTGATCTTGGGTTTGTTGGTGAGTTTTTAGATACAATACCACAGTGTGATTCTTGAAAAAAATTGATAAGTTGGACTTCATTAAAATTATAAACAAGTGCTTTGCAAAAGACATTGTTAACAGAACGAAAAGACAAGCTTCAGCCGCAGACCAGGAGAAAATATTTGCCAAACAGATATCTGATAATCCCAATATATAAAATAATTTTAGAAACTCAACAGAAAGAAAATGAACAACTCAATTTAAAAAATGGGCAGAAGATCTGAACACCTCATAAAAGAAGATATGAAGATGGCAAAAAGCATATGAGTATATGCTTAACATGATGTCTAAGAAAATTGTAAATTGAAACAATGAAATATAACTATGCACCTATAAATATGGCTAAAATTCAAAAAGCTCACACCAAATGCTGGTGAAAATAACAGACAACAGGAAGAACTCATTGCTAGTGGGAATCTAAAACAGTACAGTCACTTCTGAATACGGAAAATGAATAATTAAGAAAATAGATGGCAATTGGGGGCCAGGTTTCTCACAGTTGGAGTGAGAATTTTCAGATAAGAAAGGGGAGGAGGCTAGGAGGATCCATGTAGTAATAAATTATAGTTGGAGACATTAGTATGAACTCTATTTAGCTTAATATAGATACAGGCCATTACTAGAAAACACACATATATGCCACACACACAGGATACTATACGCATATATACTTCCTTTGCCAGTTAAGAGGGCTTAAAGGAAATGATACCCCAGGAGTAATGGCCATACCCAGTTCCCAGTTCTTGGTTTCTAATACCATTCTCCAATAAAATGAAATGGGACTCCTTGAAGAAATTGTTAATTCTAGGACTGGGGCAGGAAATATACAAGATGAGCCTGGAGTATCCTGTAGTGTCAGAAAGTAAGGAAGTATGCAAAAACAAAACAAAACAAAACAAATTGAACATACATACATAAAATAAAATAAAATAAAATAAAATAAAATAAAATAAAATAAAATAAAAAAACCCATATTGATGGAAGTATATTTTAAAGAACACAGGAGCCAATGAAAGAGCTCACAATGGCTAAAGTGGAACAATTTGAACAAACAAATAAATAAAGTACTATTGGGTTGTAGCCCATAGTACAAAATAACTAGTCATGAATCCTTACTAATATAAATAAATAGGGTGGGGACAAATCTGTACTGAAAATTCCAAATAACTTATGAACTTACGTAGACTCTCTATCCTCAGTGATGGAAACTTTACACTCCACTTTTTACTGGTGAGCTTTGCATAGTGACTTCTTTCCAGAGTACAGTATAGAAGGGGGCATTGTGGGAGGGTGAGAATAACTTTACAGTGGAGAAACCTAACACACATTGTCTCAGCTAAGTGATCAAGTTTAACAGCAACTGTGATGAGTCATGTCTGATATACATATACTTTATGTGATGTGGTAAGAGTGAATAACACTTTACCTCTGTGGTCTTCCTCCGAAAAACCCATACCCCAATCTAATCATGAGAAAAACATCAGACAAATATAATACAAATTGAGGGATATGCTACAAAATTTCTGACCAGCACCCCTCACAACTGTCAAGGTCATCAAAACAACACCAAAAATGTCTGAGGAACGGACTCTGTCAAGGGAGAAGCCTAAGGAGACAAGTACACACAACATGATATGCTGGACGGGATATTGAAAGAGCAAAAACATATTAGGTGAAACTAAGGACATCTGAATAAACCAGGAACTTCAGCTAATAATATCGTATTGAGTTGTGATAGTTTGTAGCAAATGTACCCTGCTCATGTAAAATATTAATAATAGGGGAAACTGTGTGTGAAATATATGAGAACTCTAGTATTTTCTTAACTTTTCTACAAATCTGATGCTGTCCTAAAAAATGTCTATGTTTAAAAAATCAACTAAGAAAATGTGACACACCCTGGGTGCTTCTGATTACTGTGCCTTCTGTCCCCAGTCTCCCTGCCCAGTCCTACCCAACCCTGCTGTTAGGAGGACTTGAGCCTGCCTTCTCATGGTCTAAGTTATGAGAACCACTGACAAGTGCTAACCTAAGGAGGGATGTGGTTAGATTAGAATTTTAAGTGAACACCCTGTCCTCTGGGTGATGAGTGGATGGCAGGGTGGGGGGAGATAGAGAGCAAGAAAGACCAGCTGGAAGGGTGTTGCAACAGTTCAGGTGAGAAACGACTTCACGACTTGACTTGATCCTTGATGGGGGTAGGGAAGAGGAGGAAGAATGAGGAATGATTGTGAATACACACATGGTAATGGCAGTTTTCTGAACTCAATGAGAGAACACCTAAGGTGGAAACATGGTGAGTGTTGCTGGGGTTGGGTGGGAAGGAAGGAATGCTAAGTGCCATGCTGTGCAGATCGATTAAACTTGAGCGTCTCTGGACACTTCAGTAGGGAAGTCCCTGATATATCTTCGTGTGCCTGCAGTAAAATAGCTTCGAATAGCTTGATACAGCCTGCCTAAAATGTGGTGGTTAAATAGTTAAAAGTGAGCAATTTGAAGAATTAAAGGCAGTGCTTTTCCCAGGAAAGGAGAGTCCCAGGTCCTGATATGATTGATGGCAGTAAAGGCTATGGAAATGTCAGGGAGCCAGGTAGCAGGAGGGTGACACCTGCGGTGACTGGGTCTGTATTTCTCCAGCTTAGTCAGTAGTTTTGACTTCCATGACTGCTGCTGGCCCAACCTTTACTTCCTTTAATAACGCTGTCACTTTCCCTCAGAGATGATCTGGAACACCTCTTCTCTCCACCTTGCCCAATTCTACTGCTATTGCTTTTCTAAAGTCTTCCTCAGTCAAGCAGGCAGACCATAAGACTTTTGGAAATCATGAGATTTTCTAAGAGAGAAAACCCAAGCAGAAGAGCCTGGAAATGTTTCCGGGGAAGAGACTAGAACCCAGAAGGAGCCCCCAAGCTTTCCTAGCATCTTCCCAGTCCCTCTCCTGAGAGGAGCTGAGTCGGGAGCAGAAGTGTACAGTGGGCTCTGCCAGGGGTTGGGTGTGGTGTTGTAGTGGAAGGTAGTGTTGGACTGAGATGCAACCAGAACAACGTATCCCCTTTTCATGGCTGGTCAGTGTTGTTTTCAAGTGCATTAAGTGAAGCTGATTTTGTTTTTGTTTGATTTGGATTTTGTTTCTTTTTTAGGAACTGTTGGATCTATTGAGTGGTTTGGGGACCAAAATTTTAAAAGGGTCAAGATATCTGTCCTCCTTTGAGAATGGGCCATGGGAGTCTCTTGCAGCTATTGACCCATACACAGGTTTTTATGTGGTGAGAGAGAAGAAAAGGCTAAAGAGAATGTAGGATCCCAAGACTCCCAGGATTTATTATGGATCATTGTACACACTCACCGATTCAGCTTCAACACTGGGGAAATAAGGATTCCTATAGTGACAATAGTCCCTCAAGTAGAGGCTCTGCTCACCTGAGGTTGGGATTGGGCTCATTGGGGGTGGCACTGGACAATAATTACCTCTCTTCCACCCCCACCCCATTAAAGAGACATGTAGACGGACAGAGTCAAGTTCACAGATGAGACGGGCCACCTAGGGGACCCGAAATAAGTGGGGCCAGTGGTTCTCTCTTCCCTTGTATGAGACGATCTAAGGGCCTCTGGATTGCAGGTGGTTATTTATGTTTGAGTGGCCATTGCACCTCCTGCTTCTGCTGCTGTTGCTGCTCTACAGGAAGAAATACTTCTCCCTTTGTGGGCAGGGCTGGTTGGATGTCTTGGATCTGGCCTGGAGCTGGGGCAAACATGGGCTGCTCCAGCTGCCCCTCCTGCTGCTCCAGATGTTTTAGTTGTCCCTCCTGCTGCTCTGGGTGCTCTAGATGCTTTTCCTGTTGCTCCAGGTGCTTTGGCTGTGCCACTTGCTGCTCTGGGAGCTCCAGCTGTGCCTCCTGCTTCTCCAGGTGCTTCAGCTGCCCCTCTTTCTGCTCTGGGAGCTCCAGCTGCTTCTCCTTCTGCTCCAGGTGCTTTGGCTGCTCCCCCTGCTGCTCTGGAAGCTCCAGTTGCCCCTCCTGCTGCTCCAGATGCTTCAACTGCCCCTTCTGCTCCTCTAGGTGCTTCAGCTGCCCCTCCTGCTGCTCCAGGTGCTCCACCTGCCCCTCCTGCTGCTCCAGGTGCTCCAGCTGCCCCTCTTGCTGCTCCAGCTGCCCCTTCTGCTGCTCCAGATGCTCCAGCTGCTCCTCCTGCTGCTCCAGGTGCTTCAGCTGCCCCACCTGCTGCTCTGGGAGCTCCAGTTGCCCCTCCTGCTGCTCCAGATGCTTCAACTGCCCCTTCTCCTCCTCTAGGTGCTTCAGCGGCCCCTCCTGCTGCTCCAGATGCTCCACCTGCCCCTCCTGCTGCTCCAGGTGCTCCAGCTGCCCCTCCTGCTGCTCCAGATGCTCCAGCTGCCCCTTCTGCTGCTCCAGATGCTCCAGCTGCTCCTCCTGCTGCTCCAGGTGCTTCAGCTGCTCCACCTGCTGCTCCATATGCTTGAACTGCCCCACCTGTTGCTCTGGGAGGTCCAGCTGCACCTCCTGGTGTTCCAGATGCTTCAGCTGCCCCTCCTGCTGCTCCAGGTGCTTCAGCTGTCCCTCCTGCGCTGCCTCTGGGAGCTCCAGTTGCCCCTCCTGCTGCTCCAGGTGTTTCAGGTGCCCCTGCTGCTGCTCTGGGAGCTCCAACAGTTGCTCTTTCTTCATTCCCAGTTGCTCATCTCTCTTGACTAGCTCTTGATGCAGTTGCTGGTCTAAGAGCTTCTTCTCTTCTTCCAGCTGTTCCTTTAGCTGCTGATCCTTTTGTGCTTTCTCCTGCTTAAGCTGCTGCTCTGGGTTTTCTGCTTTCTGATGTTCCTCATGCTGTTCCCAGTGCTGTTGCTGCAGCTCCTGCTTCTGTGGCTCCTGCTGCTGCTCCTCACATTCTTGCTCAGGCACTCCCTTTACAATAGTCACGTGCTTTTCCTCTTGCTTTAATGGGACCTCCACTGGGAGCTCGACAGACACCTTCTGGCACGGGGGAGGCAGTGGAGTTGGCTGCTTCATTTGCTCCTGCTGGGTATTGACTGGAGGAGGAACAGTCTTGAGGAGCTCCTGATTGAGGGCAGGGGAGAGGGTCACTGGCAGTGTGTGTTGCTGGGACATCTTAGAAGCTGTTGTCAACCTGAAAGACAGAAGAGGTCTGATGCACAGGCTGAAGGCAAAGGAAGTAGATGAAACCTTGGAAATCTGCAGAAGTACATGATTTTTTAGCATCACCTCTTCCCTTGGGCAGGGTACTGTCCTACCACCTCTGGACTATCGTTTCCCAAAAGCAGCAGAGAGTGAAGGGTGGAAATAGGGAGGAGCAGGGAAAGGTCCTCCTAGGAGTCTCCTTGTTCCCAGGTGAGAGCCAACAAGATCTCTCTGCAGGGCTGTTCTGCAAGGGTGGGCCAGGTGCCAGCTCACTGTCTGCTCTTGTCTAGTCCTTGTGTCCACCCTCATCGCTCCACTGACCAAGGAACAGAGATGTGTTCTGGGATTATGTCACAGTGAGGAGTAAGACCTTAGGGAACGAAACGTCTCTTGGAGAACACCAAGTCCTAGAAAACCAATAGGCTGTGCCAGAGAGGATCCAGGAGGTCATGGTGTGAACTCCAGACTGGAGACACATGAAATACTGTGGACCTACATCTCCCATTGGAATGCTGTGTGTTTCTGGGCAAGTCACTTAGTCTCCTGGGATTTGGATTTCCCCTATGTAAAGCCAGCAGGTTGGCCTATTCAACCCCAGGGCTCCTTTCTCTCCTGACCCTCTGAAGTTTAGCTGCAGTCCTGGTGTCTGGGGTGGGGCTTGGGGGAGCTGGGAGGTTGCTGAGAATTGGAGCTTGTTCTTCCAAGACTTATACTTCTAAGTTGAGTTTTCCTGCCCCAGCTCTGCCTAGGTTTCTCCAAATAGAAAGGTTTCCATATCCTGCCAACCCTTCTGTGCAGCATAGCCAAAAGGTAGAAGCTTTTTCCTGAACCTCTCCCTCCATAAAGAAGGCAAAATGATAGTCAGTCAAAAACCCAAGAGATTTAGGAAAGAAATTGACTGCTACTCCCCTCCTTCCTTCCATATTTCTCTCTCACACACAACTCCAAAAATATGGTCACAAGAAAATATGGGACATAGGATGATTACTCTCTGTTCTGCACTTTTGTGCCAAGGCACTTTTCTCTCAGTACGCTGACCTGAGACCCCCTAGAATGAAAGTCCAGCTGAATCCAGCCCCAGATCAATGCCCACCCCCACCCAGGCTGCCCACTTCCACGTTGTATGCTGTTGGAGGTCCCAAGTCCCAACCCTGGTTCTACCATCCGACACTTACCAGACTCACAGTAAGGCTGAAGCAGAGGCTTTGGTGGAGTGCTGAGCTGAGCAGGAGTCAGGGCACTCTTTATATCATTCCCCAGCCTGGCCTCCCTCCAGGTTGAAGGTGATGGACAGGTTTCACCACTCTAGTTGGTCAACTTCCTCTAGCCCCTTCCTGACTCACCACAGGCATCTTAAGCAGCAAACCCTTCAGGGCCCCATTTCCCAGGGACACACAGCTCCTGCCTGGCCAGAGGATTCTGGGAGCTCAACTATTCCTGTGATGCTTTTATGACCTGGGCCCAGGGAGCTGAGTGAGGCATCCTACTGTTTTGTGACCTTAGTCAAACTTCTGCTCCAAATCTCAATTTTTCCACTTTCACAATGAGCTTGTTCTCATTATTAGGCCGAAAGATTCACTTTCAAGGGCATGAAATGGAAAGTTATGTGTCTTTCAGGGATGTCCAGGCTGGGTCATATGCTTTGAAGATAGAAAGAGTCACTTCCCATGAAGGGGTGGTATTTCTGGGGTGTTCGCTTGAGCCACAAGCCCATCCTCTCTCAGAATATATTTTTAACTCAATTCTGTGTGGAAATAAACTCTGTCTTTGGTGGGGGTGTCTGACTTTAGGCCAAGTAGAGTCAAGTAGAAGACTTCTAGGAGTCCTCTGCTGCTGCCACTTGCTGCCCAACCTCCACCCGAGACTGTAATTAGAGAAGTTCTCAGGAATGCCATACTCACAAGAACTCCAAAGCATGGCCCACTCTAGGCAAGGAACAGGACTGAATATGCACAACATAAAAATAGGTATTGTTTTTATAATGACAAACCAAACAACTTTCTTAAGTACTTTTTTAAATGCATGAAGGTATAAAGATCAGAATCAAATCATTCATTTCCTGTTCTAAACCATACTCTAGAAATAGCTTAAGAAATCTTTCAGAGTGGGGATTTGAGCACATCTCTCCCCAGTCCCAACAGTGCGCCAGCACACTTGAAATAACATCCAAACTCATTGCTGTGGTTTAAAAGGCCCCGGGTACCTGGCTTCTGCCTTCCTCTGGGACCCCAATTCATGCCAATCTCTCCCTGAGGGGTATATTCCTGCCTCACTTAGGGCCTTTGGTTCTTGAGACGAACCCAGAGCTCTCCACCTGGGGGCTTGGCACCTGCTCTCCTTCTGCCCACAGGCACCTCCCCAGGTCTCTGGCTCTTTTATGCCTTTCAGCTTCAGTGTCAATGTTGGGGTTTGTCAGAGATCCTTCTCTGGGTTCCATATCTAAAGGATTCGTACTTCATTTCACTTATAACAGTCTAGAGTTATTTTATTTGCATTTGTTCACTTGCTTATTATCTATCTCTCCCACTGGAAAATAAACTAAGAGCAGGGTATACCTGGTATGTTTTCCACTGCGCCCCTAGAATCTATCAAAACCACTGCATATAATATGTGCTCTACAAGTGTTCGGTGAAGAACAGTGAATCTTACCACCCGAAAATAATGACTATTAAACATTTTAGTGTTGATCAATGTTTATATGTGTGTGTCTGTATGTATGTGTAGAAATGAAACTGATTTATTTCTTCCCCTTCTTTTTAATGGTTGGTTAATAGTTTATTATATGGACATCATTCATTTAAACTCTCTTTTTTACAATCTAATCCAAAAAGAAGGAATTATAAAGACAATACTCAGCGGGGCTAATTTTGAGAAGTGTCTTGATTCCCCATAGTTTTCCTGACAGGCACCTTTCTCTTAACGCCAAGTAAATCTGTTTAAAGCGCTAATTTTGTCATATTCCTGGACCATGTCTAAAAAGACAGATGGAGGGCTCACAAGGGACCCTTGGTTTCTGCAATGCTATCATCTCCTCATGACCTCTCTGTTCCCTGAGCTCACCCTGGGACCTCATATTCTTTTTCCCATAGAACAGGGACTGTGCCATTTTCTGGGGCAGAGGAAGCACAACCCACTCTGCCTTGAAGAACTAATCAAGCATCCTTACTTCAGCACTGATGCCCTTGTGCTCTGCTGCTGACCTCATCTGGGGGGAATCTGCCTCTTCCCAGCCCGTGACAGTCAGTCCAGGGCAGCAGACTCGGATCAAGGAAGTCACACCGGTCTTATGGGTTAGCAGGGCTCAGTATCTGCCAGATCTGCCTCCCGCCCTCTGACTCACGGCATAATAAGAGTCTTAAGGAGAAGATGGTATGTGTGAGCCTTTAACCGCTGGGCAAAGCTAGGGTGTGGGAAAGAGGTCAGTGGATAAAACTGAGGGAGTGTTTGTGTGTGTATGTATGCAAAGGAGGGGTTGGGGAGACCTCAGCATTCTAGGGCTGAGAAGTGCCATATTCCGCCCACAGGTTGTCCATTTGGGAGACAGGCATTCATGTATATGGGGGAGGTTCTTTCACTGCCCGTCTGAATGACCTCATAAGCTCCAGGTCCACATGACAAGTCTGGGTAACTGTCCAATCCCCACCCAACATAATGAGGATGAGCTCATATCCCATGACACATGGAGAAGCTTTGGCCCCAGCTCTGCCCCAGCCCAAGGATGCCCTGGCTATTTCAGATTTGGAGGCAGAAACTGGCTGGTTTGTCTCTCTCCTGACTGAGGCAACCTATTTGAACTGTTGCTCAGTTGTAGGGGACAGAAGAAATTGGTCATGGTGATTCACTGTCCTGTGGGGAGGGATGCTGAGGACAGCTCTTAGCAGGTTGCCATAGAAGTCGTGGCAGATGGTCCTGGAAAGTGACTTGGGCCAGAAAATCGTATATTCTTGTCTTGGATAGCCATGCCTCGTCTGCTTCCTGGTATGGCACTGCCCCATGCTCTGAGGCTGCTAGCCTCCTCTCCTTCTCACAGGCCTCCTCCTCTACCCAGGGCACTGTCTCCTACATCTGCGGCTCTCGGTCTGCAACGTGCACTAGTTGCCTCCCCACACATAATTTTTTTTTTTTTTTTTTTTGAGACAGAGTCTCGCTTTGTCTCTCAGGCTTGAGTGCAGTTGTGCAATCTTGGCTCACTGCAATCTCTGTCTCCCCAATTCAAGTGATTCTCCTGCTTCAGTCTCCTGAGTAGCTGGGACTATAGCCATGCACCAATATGCCAGGCAAATTTTTGTATTTTTAGTAGAGATGGAGTTTCACTGTGTTGGCCAGGCTGGTCTTGAAATCCTGACTTCATGGTCTGCCCACTTAGGCCTCCCAAAGTGTTGAGATTACAGGTGTGAGCCACCGTGCCTGGCCTTCCCCACAAACTTCAAATCCTCCTCGTCTTTGTCCATTGCTTCCTGGGACTCACCTTGGCTCTTCTCTCACCTTTTGTGTCTGTCTGCTGTTCAAGGAAGGCAGAAGAGACCAAGAAAGGGCCAAGAGGGCTGACTCATCCTTTCTGGGCTTCTGGGTGGATCTGTCTGTCCTGACCTGCTTTCCTCTCTTACATCTTCTTATAGCTTTCTCTCTCTGGGCCTGTTGGATCACTGGATCTCAGTCACCAGTGCTGGCCTTTGCTCTTGGATCTGAGATCTGTGGAAGGACAGTCAGCTCTGCTCTTGGTGGCAGAAAGAGGAGCAGAGGCATAAAGGCTGTCAGTAGTAGAGAAAAGAGACACTCAGTGTCCCCTTCTCCAACTAAAGGAAATTTCCTCCCCTTTGGGCTCATTGTTGGGGAAATCACATTTTGTACAGTTGATTCTCTGTGCCAGAAGACAGCAGAATGTCTGAGATGGAGGAATCCTCAGAGAATGCATGGGAAATACCTTACACTATGCCTGGTGCATAAGAGCTTCTTTATTTATCTAATAATAACTAATAATAATAACTTAAATTTACAATACACAAATTCATAGAAACAGAAAGCAAACTGATGGTTGTCAGGAAGTGAGGGGAGGAGAGAATGGGATGTAGCTGCTAAAGGGGATGATGAAAATGTTATAGAACCACATAGGGTTGGTGGTTGCATAATATATGAATGTACTAAACACCACCGAATTGTTCACTTTAAAATGGTAACTTTATGTTATATGAATTGTACCTCAATAAAAAAAGAAGTAATGTCTTTGCCTAATACCAGGTCGCAAGGTAAAGTTGTTAATATAATTGATGTGTCCATTCACCCAACACTTACTGAGCCTCTACTATGTGCAAGGCACTGGAGATAGGGTTATGAATAGAAAACACACACAGTCCCTGCCTTCAAGTAGCTTAAAATGTAGGTGTTCCTTAATACATAGGAGCTTCTTAACACACGTATGCCTACTTCCCACCATTGGGGCTCATCTGTATTCTGACAGGAATTGAAGTCTGGAGAGAACATGAGTTGCCCAAGAGCCTACAGCGAGGCTGTGATAGAGCTGGTCTGGAACCCATGTGTCCTGACCTCTGGTCAGGGTCTCTCCTCCCCATCAGGCTGCCTTGCTAGGTGCTTGAGTATCTGATGGCTGTGACAGGTTGCACTAGGTGACTTCAAAGACACATTCTAGCTCTGTGAGTCAGTCACTTACCCCAACATGGCCAGTTCTGGGTTTTCTGGAGGGAGTGCCAGTTTTCTCTGGCTCTCATTCAGCCAAAATGCCCTTGGGATGACCCTCTTTGGTCCTGGGAATAGGGAGCTCCACTTCCTGGCTGGGTCTGGTGTTTAAGCTTATTTCAGCCTAATCCAATCTGAAAGAATGTTACTGTTCAATGGTGGGCACTGACTTTGCCATCAGACAGGCCTAGGTTTGAATTGCATCTGCATGTCTTTTTATCTGGATAAGACATTTCTTACATCTGTGAATTTCAGTTTCCTTGTCTGTAAAATGGGGATACTAACAACTCCTTAGAATTCTGTGAGAATTTGGAGAGGCAATATATGTATTTAGCACATAGGTTGTACTCAGGAAGTTGGCTATTTTACCATTGGAGGCCATTGCAAAGGTTTGCTGGTGGATTACAGTGTGTTACCTACCTAAAGATAGTTTTAAGGATGTAAGTTATTTAAAGTTCATCAACTTTAACTAACTCATTTTGCCCATGAAAACATGAAGCCGCACAGTCA